TATTAAGTGTATACCTTTCCTGCACACTTTCAGATATACTGTCTCTTTTTAGTTTTTTTTTTTTTTTAAATCAATGACATACTGATGTCAGAGTCTCCAGTGGGCCTTTTGACCCAGACACTGTGAGTCTGATGCCTGTTGACAGTCTATAAATGAAAACATTGCTTTCTCAGGTACCATGAGCTCTGTAGCTGCAGCCATGCTGAACACAATGACTGGCTCGGTCCAGTAAACAGGATTTCTGGGAGTCAAGTGACCTGTTCATCAGTTTTGGTTTCCTTCAGTGGAAATCACGGTGAACCAAATCTAAAAATGCAACCAAGTCAACATTCCCACTCACATCACGGGGCCAAAGAAAACAAGCTGCAGGTGTGATCACACCCTAAAAGTGACTGGTTTTATACAGTTCATGATAGGAAGGTTCAGAGAAAAGAGCAGATCACAGATAACAGACACATACAGCTGTGTGGGCCACATCATCCACGTTCATTGTTTAACGCCGTAGTTCAAATGTGTGTCTGTCTCCCAGACCCGTGACCTTCCTTCCTTCATCTCCAAAATAAGAAAGAGCAGGCATGAAGGTCTTTGTTCGAAATAATTCTTCAAACTGAAAGCACAATGATGGGGCATTTAGATTAAAAACACTGCATCAGGAGGGGGGACAGGGGGTCAAAGTACAGCTTTGTACTTTATAACAATTTGTGTTCATTGATTTTTAGCATGCACACATTTTAGACAGTATTGTCAGCGATAAAATATTTTTGCAAACCCTCTCCCCGGCCACGTCTCGTGGGGGTCAGCAGCGCAGCCAGGTGACCCCTTCACCTCGGAATGAACTTGGACTCAACATTTACACTGACTACAGCCCGACTGATACCAGATGCTGGAGACCAAAACAAATATTGATGTTTGAGAGACAAAATAAATATGATAAAATGTAGGTCAGTACTTGTTAAAACATGACCAATTTTTCAGAAGGAACACTACTAATAGGCTGGTGATACTCTTTCTAAATTATATCCCAACATTAAAGCAGAAACTATTGGTAAATCAAAAGAAAAATAATTGTTTCAGTCATTTTCAAGCAAAAACTGTAAAAATTGCCAAATGCTCTCTGGTTTCAGCTTCTCACATGAGAGGATCTGCTGCTTTTCTTTGACACTTCATTGGGGAAAAACAAAACAGATTACTCAATGATGAAAATGATCATTAGTGGCAGCCCTTGCTGATAAACATATTTCATGTTGACCCTACCTGGTTGTAAAAAATCTCACCTATACTAATCTGATTTTACAGCATTTCCTTCCAACTAAACTCAGTAACACACAAATTCCTGCAGTACTGAGGTGAATCTACCATCTGCTTTTGGCTTCATTTCTACACACGACTTCACACTGAGAACTGGACGTGTTGCCTTAGTTTTCCAGCCTCAAACCAGATTCTCATCACCGACTTGTGGAAGTGTGACTGCACCTGCCAGACGAGCATAAGTATGTGGATGTGTCCGAGCACGCCCAGCTCAGCCCCTGACGTGTACTGTATGCATTTAACTCTGAGCTACAGCCGTCCGATCAGGACTACAGGCGTTCGTCTTGTAGCTGCTTGCATGAACACTGATGATGGATTTGTCCTCACTATGTTAAGCTCTAACAATTATTTTCATTCACACTCAATCTGCCCATTATATCTCTGATTAATCAGTTTTGCATATAAAATGTCAGAACACCCCCCACAGTCCAAAGTCATGCAGTTTATGAGCAGATGAAAAACAAAGGCATCAAATCCTCACATTTGAGAATCTGCAACCAGTGAATATTCAGCATTTTCACTTGAAAAATGACTCCAACAGTTAATTATTCATCAAAATAGCTGCTGCTTCATTTTCTGTTACAACATCGCAAGAAGAAACAATATTTAAGACTTCACTGGGACATGCAGAAATCCTGAAAATCAAAGTATAATTACAAAGTACTTCTCTACGGAACGTAGGGATGTTTGGCAGCTAGATGTGTGAATATGCCTGCGGCACATGGACCTGCATGGTGACAAATGTTCTCTCTGTCAAACTTGTTTTTCAGTCCATGTTAATACTTGGCATGTCAAAAGACATTTTATGAAGTTCACACATATCCCCAACCTTCAACTCCCATGATAGTCCAGGATGATTCCAGGAGTCTCTGGTGTTTGTGATCAGCTGAAGCTCACTGGAAACTGGCTCCAGATCAAACACACAGACTCTAACCTGACTGAGCCTCCCATGACAAGGACGCATTTCTGGAATCGTACGAGGTGAATAAACAGACACACACCTCCAACAGCAGCAGTTACACTGTAAATACTACAGCAGGATCTGGGTCACCAACACATTCAGTTTTCAACAACAGAGAAATAAGATATCTGAATGCACAAATTTAAAATGCAACCTGAACCTGAACATTTTCTACATCTGTCCCTCGCTTTAATGTAAAGCTGCAACAACTGACTGATTAGTTGATCAACAGGGAAAAGATCTGCATCTCTCATTTTGACAATTAGTTGTTTCAGTCAAATGCCACATATGCTGTTTTCACATACGGAGAATGGTCTTTATGAGACGGCAGCAGAGAGTGACAGGAAGCACAAAAGTCGAGGTCACGTGACTGACCCTTGGGTGTTTGTCTCTGATGGTCAGATCAGGCTTAATGGTACCACAACCAGAGACAAGTGTCGCCCAGACTTCTGACGCTCCACATGACAGAAGGTCGACCTCTGAAGAGCCGCTGCTGTCTCACCATTGTCTCTGCTGCTAAATAATGTATACTGGTATGCACATTGGGCGTAGCTGCAGGACAAGCTGAGCTGAATGGACGCTCGCCTCACAGCAGTAAATCTGACTCTTACAAAGAAAGAGACGCACGCCGACTGTCAAAGCTGCACGTTGAACCACACAGTGAAGATTTATCACATTTGAGAAAGAAAATCAAAGCTCACTCATTTTTTCCAGTCCATGTCTGACAGCACAATCATTTTCATCAGTACTTTGAGTAGGAAAATATTTCAGTTTACAAACTAAGCTTTAGCAAGCAGATATCATCTCTGGAATCAAAAGCAAAATAACTCACAAAATGTTCCTAATCTTTAAGTAATTTATTTTACATAGTGTTTTTCAGAACACTTGTACAAACCTTCACTTCTTAAACAGTGATTTACAGACTTAATGAGCATTAACCACCTTTTTTTAAATCTGAATTGAAGAGACAAGAGTGTTTGTCTCACTAAGTGGCCGAAGAGCTTTTGCTGTTCTCTCACTGTTTGATAGCATTAAAATATTACATAAAACATGATGGGTAAGATGCACTTTCAACTTTAAATTATTTAACACAGCTGGATGTTGAGTGTGCACCAGACAAAGATGAAACCAGTGAGTGTATGATGCCTCAGACAATACAAGTCTGATCACAGTTTGGTTATTGAAAAGTTTCCAGGATAAGTAAAAATACTTTTAACAGCTGGTATAGCACCAGTACCGAAACTGGTGCTATACCAGCCTCACAGTTTCCAAAGGACAGCAGCCCTAAAGGTGATTTAAAGGTACAAGTTGTGATTCACATGAACAGGGAGCACCACCACCTAATGTCTTTTTCGCCCAGAGGGTCTAGTGACACTCAAAACAAACTGACACCATAACCGCTCCTAAACACTCTTTACCCCTCCCATAACGTCTTGTTTCCAAGCTACAATGTAAACTACAGATGCCTGGTTGGGACAAACTGTACAAAGTGTAGTCTCCAGTCTGAAGCTAGCATTAGCTGGCTAACAATAAACGTGTCAGTCCAGTAGAACGCTCTGGTTACTGCTGATGTGACACAAAGCACTGACGTTACACAAAGCTCAAAATCATTTAAATTTAATATAAAAGTAAAATCATTCAAAAGACAATAGGGAAAATCTTAGTTACTGTAACATAAAACCCACAAAACTCAGCATCTCTAACAAATAATGACCTATTTAACCATGTAGCTGTTAACTTTCAAATGCTGACTTAAAACTATATTTATAGCTACACGAGTAGGGGTGTAAGAAAATATATACACTTGAGTATTGTGATATTATCTTCTGCAATACCCTATCGACACTCAAACACAGTACTGACTTTTAATTAATAGTTCACATGCCAAGCAGTGCTATGTTCTTGGATGTTACAGGGACTTTAACAAATGCAGATTCCTGTTCTGACTGCATAAAAAGCTACAGGACATTTTAAACATATGGTGCTGCTTATTTTATGACAGTATTTCCACTTGGTGTGCAGAGGAGCCCACAGAAACACCCTGGAGAAGGGAAACCTACGTCCAAATCTCTGACAAACAGTGCATGGTGAGGAAATTACTGGCTACATGTGAAATGCATGTACCGGTACATGTACAGCATATCCAACCCACAGCAAATACAAACTACACACAATTCAAAAAGAACTGTGTGCTCAGTAGTAACAAATATTATTCTGTTTCTATTACCTGTTGTACCTATTTATATTTAGAGATGTGCAATATTTTTTATATTATTATTAGAGCTGCAACCAGTGATGACTGTTCAATATATTACTTGTTTGGTCTGTAAAACATCGGAAATTATTTAAAATTGTACACCATTATTATTCAAAATGACGTCTTAATGTATAGCCTTTAATATTTGAGCAGTAGTCCAGACAGAAAACATAATTATGGTTATTTTATGGTTAGTACACTGCAAAACAGGCAAATCCTCACACTGGAGAAACTGAAACTACGACACGTTTAGACTTTAGACTGACAAAATAAATTAACGTTAACCTAATTGTTTCAGCCGTAGTTGTTACAAACACTGCTCCACACCACAAATGGCCGAATGAGAGAAGCAGTTGAATAAAAACTTTAAAACGTACCATTATTAATGTAAAGCAGTGGATGAAGGAACGAAACTAGCATTTGTTCACTTGCCAACCGCTAACAGAACCGTTAGCTAGAAACAGGTCTCCTTACCTCTCATCCAGTCCACCACTTGTTGCGGGCTCCACTTGCTCACAGCCTCCATATCGATAACCGGCTTCTCTCGGGTTTTATCAAATGTACAACTCACTTGTCCAAATCACCGACTCAACCCGCTAATAAGTCATTATTAACTGATACTGAATCACGGAGGAGAAATGCTACAGCGTTGAAAAGAGCACAACCAAAACTTCCCCGCTCAGTAACCGACCACTCGCGAGGACAAAGTTTATATCAGTATACACACAAACCTAGCAGCGCGTGATTAACCACGCCCCTCTCTCGCCTGTCCTCCAATCGCATGAGACTAAGCTTATGGTGCTTTCAAGTGCCGTAGAAACGAGTTCAAACAAGTTTTCACAAGGCAGGTTAGCACATTAACAACACAAGAGTTCTGCATAATCAAATCTTTCACCTTCTGAGCTCCAGACTAACTCTGTCTTGTGCGCTGGATGTTGGCTTTTTAAGATTTTGTAAGGGTCTGCAGACATTTCCCATGGGAAGAGTCCATCACACTGTGCTCACGTGTCAGAGGGCTCTGAACTGTGTTGGCTTAAGGCTCAGAGGTTGCAATGCTTATCACACTCTAATCTCAAAGTGCTGCAAAGAACAAGTGTATGTAAAAATCTTTAATCTTAATCCTTAATCAAAATCCTTTGATTTAACCACCTACAGAAGTAAAACTGAAACACTAGAGTGTTTTTACACTACAATACTGGCTTCTTATGAAATCCACAAATCTTTGAACATCATTGATGGTACTATTACTTATAATTTATTTTTAAAATTGTATATTTTTACAATATGGCAAATGTTCTGGTACTTTAACTTAAAATGAGTTCTTTATCATCATTGGTTTATTATCTAATATATAAACTATATGAACAAATAACTTACACCTTGAAATATTCAAAAAGTAATAACTTATTAGTTATTTCTTAACGTAAATAATTTTTATCACATAAACTATGCACTGATCTTGCATTATAAAACTGTAGCCTTATTCAGCCTCATACTTTATGTGGTTGTATATAGAATTACGTTATTGTTTACAGAACTTTTAAAAACATGTAATGGGAAGTAGTATGAAAAGTCATTGTTATGTTCTGATACGTCTGACAGCACCTGAAGGCAACAAGCTTTGTGGGCGGGGACTTTCTTATTGAGATGCTTTAAATCTTTATTTTCATTGGCAGACGAAGATGAAAGGTGTGTGTGTGTTGCAGGTAAAACGTAAGCACACGCTGCACATGTCATGCACAATAAATGATTCGGTATTTTACTGTTATGGATCACTATTTGTCTCTAATTATCCATCGAAGTTGAATTTTATCAGACCATACTGGCTGCTATCCCTTGTTTTTAGGAGAATATATATAAGTTAGCACTATTCTACAATTTACTTGTTTATCTAATTGAGCATTTCCATTTTATGCTACTCTGTAATACTCTAATTACAGAGGGAAGTGTTGTATCTTTTTCTGTATTAAATTAACCACCAACATATGAAGTTTCACTTCCACTGAGCACTGCTGAGTCCTCTGGAGGTACATGTGAGTTAATTTTGATGTGTTAACATTTCCTGAAATAAAAAATTGAATGCAGGACGTTTACTTGTAATAGATTATTTGTTGTTAATTGAAATAAAAGATCTTAGTGTGTTTTCCACCACTGGCTGGCTGTAACATACCAAAACTCGCTCAGGCAGGTCTTTACTCAGTCGTTTACTGAGTTTACGGGACTTGTTTTCCATTGAATCAGCAGCAAATCCTGAACCTGTTGATTCCTTTCAAAGCTGATTTGAGAAACACTGCCATCCTTAGACAGGACACAGTTATACAGTTTTCTGTGCGTTAATTACATAAAATAAAAGTATATTTTGATTGATCACTGTATGATTGCAATATTAGCTAAACCATATTTTGACAGAGTCCTTTTTTCAAGAAAAGGCCACGGTAGCTGAAATTTTGGATCAATCACATAATATCGACTTAAATGGTGCATGATCTTTGGCCCCATGGGGTTCTGGGGCCCCTGCAGAATCTCTGCCGGATTGGTCTCAAATTTATTAAATCTAAAAACATAATACACGCAAAACTGATGCAAATTTAAAAATGTTGTCGTTGCTGTTAATTTAAAGTTTCACCTGAATTTGCCATGTGGATGGAGGAGTGGTCGCCATCAGAAGATGGCGCCAAAGGTTTATCTGGTTAAATTAAAGGCTGGGACGAGAAGATTGTCTATGATTTGAAAGATTAACCACTCTGCATTGTAAAAGTGTATAAAAATGTAAAAAAAAAAACATTTGTAAAATTGACCTGATGATGATAATTCACCGTTGTAACATTGTAGATAAGTCAGAAAAGAAGGAAAAGCGCCATGGGCCCTTTAAGATTAGCGCCACCAGCTGCAACATTAAGTGATGAACACAATAATGAAATAATAATTATAATTATAATCCAATAATATGATGTAGGCCTACATTAATGTGATATGTGTCATTCTGCTTAAATGCTTTTATACTGCGGTATTACTCTTTTTACTGAAGTGAAGGATCTGACTTCTTCCACCACTATTTGCTGTTCAGTTTTTTTTTTCTATTTGTATTCAAAGAATAAATAGTAACGGTGCATTAACGTTAGAAAAAAAGGCAAATTTTAATATAAAGTTTTTCATTTCCATTGAAGCTGTTTGGTTGCAGAGACGCCGGTGTCCCGGTATCTAGAAAACCAGTCAGAGTGAGACCTCCTGCCGCCGCCGCTCCTCTCAGCTGCGAGTTTGTCTCCGAGTGTCTGTAGCGGTGACGATCAGACTCGCAAGAACTCGCAGCTGCTCGGTCGCTCCGGTCTTCTGAGCGAAGTTTGGCGACATAAGAGCTCAGGAAAAGTCTAACGGATTCATCTGCCTGGTGTAGATTGCTCCTCCGGAGGAGGCGGAGAAGCCACCCTGATCTCAGAGGTAACAATTTAACTTCTCTTTTTATCTGAGTGAAAGTCGTGACAACAGTCCGTGTTTCAGCTTAAAGTCATTTTAATGTCTGCGTGCAAATGAGAGGCAGCAGGTGGGAAAATTGAAGCCAGCTGTTATTATCATTAGCTACTAAACACTGGTGATCAATATGGATGAACATGAATATTACAGTATAATTCTACAGTACATTATAAAGTTTACAGTATTCACGGATTAAAACATCAAATCTATGTCAGGGGCCCAAACTTTAAAATCAAACAAAGAAAAGAGATGTTTTGTACCAGATTTAGCTGCTGGCTAGTTTCCTTTTACATCTTCAGCTGTAGACACAAACACTGATGAATGCAAATAAGACAAATGCAAGTTAAGACTGATCTGGGTGGGTGCAGGCGAGAAGTGATGTGCTCCTTTTGGCTGTATAACATGATGGCACTCCTTTCAGTTTAACTTTAGAGTCTAGTCAACTTGTGCTGAAATAATGTAAAAGAATAGGTTCATCCATCTGTCTTTTAGTAATCTGTTTGACCTGGTCGTTTAATTTTCTGTCAGCAGATTGACCACAGTGTTCTCTCAGATTTCTGTATGCTCTGGTGCAGTACTATATGGTGTGATATTTGGCAATACTTCAAATGATACTCTGCCATCAGGGGAGATAGTTTCTGCAGTACTATAGAAGCGACAGTGACCTTACCATGACATTTCCTTTCATCCTTCCCAACATGTCCAGAGTTGACCTTTTCTGGAGCTGAGTTTGTGTGTGACACGGTTCTTTTATCTCCTTCTGTAGCAATAGAACACACATGCACACTTCAGTTTGCACTTAAACTATTCTTTTTAATTATTTTTGAAGTTTAGACTTGGTGTGAATCATTTGGTCTTTTTACGCAAAAGGTTCCTAAATTTGGCGGGTTTCAACTTTTCAAATATAGATACTGGCTTGTTCATCTAGTACTCTGTTAAAGTAAATGGAGTATGTTTGAGTGTTGGACTGTTGGTCAACAAAACATGCCTCATCCCATCATCAACATATGTATGCTGTGATTATTTTCAACAGATGCTTCCCCTGGAAACCACAAAGGGAAACAACAGATCTGCAGCGTGTTGACTTGTTTTCACGCCACAGGACAAGGTGGTCTGGGGATTTAACAGCTTTAAAACCCTTTAACACTGAATTTTCCAGGATCCTGAGCTTTTCCTTGTCAGATTTTTTGGCTCATTTCTATCTTGGCGATGCCCAGCAGTGAGAAGAAATTTTCCTTGCAGGATTTTAGTGATTGGAAACAATCAAGACAAATGAGAGGACAGAAAAGGCTCGGCTGACGGGACACGTTTTGTTTGGATGTCGTTCACCTGTGAGACGGTTCTCCTACCTGGACCACGTTACAGCCAGCAGCTAATGTCTGCCGACAGCAGCCCAACCCCTCCTCGGCCTTTCCCCCCCCTCCTGCAGCACACTGCCCTGCCCACCCCATCACCATCACCCAGCCCGCCAGCCACCCTCTGCAGCCGGCTGTCCAATGGCAGCCAGAGAGCCCCCCGCCCCACAGACTCGCCGGGG